CATAAAAATCGATAAACAATTGAAATATTTTTATTCTTTGTTCATTTTCTCATTGGTTTCTATATATTTATTCAAACAGTTGCATAATATCAATCAAACATAAGATACTCTCACATTCAATTCATAAACGAAAACAATCATTATATGAAAGAATATTTCTTCTTTTTTTTTTCTTACTGGAAAATGACACAACATATATAGTAAAATATACATACACACATTCACACACACGCATACACATAACAGACAATGTAAATTAACAAACACAAGTAGATACCTAATGACAAAAGCTCTTATTTTTCATAAACGAACTGAATAAAGAAGAAACCGGTGTTGTTTGTTTTTTGTATAATCAAAAAAAGAGAAAAAAAGAGCTCTAAGTCCTTTACAATATGATACAAATTTAATTGCGAAAAGCCATCACAATGTTGCTTGATTATTTTTATTGTCAATTATTGTTTGTTGCGACGAGATAATATCATTATTATCTGTATTATTATTATTATTTGTATCATTTGTTGTTTGTTGTTGTGTTGTAATCCATGTTAAACGTTCTTCATAAAATTTTATAACTACTTGTGGACATCTTATATTACAAATACGTGATGGAACAAGATCAGCTTCACCTGTACCTTTCCATTGAACTAATAACATTAATTCACCCTACAAAAAATTTTGATTTTTTTCAAAAAAATTAATAATAAATAACAACATACTGTTGCATCGGTTGCTCCAAGGATTTTTTCAGCTTCGAATCCTCGATCAAATGCTGATGCTTCTTCAACACGTGTTGATGAACTTTGTTGTTTCGAATAATTATTTCGATCAAGTGGTGGACGACCACGTTTATTATGTACTGGTGCTTGATCAAGAGATGGTTTACGTTTGAGTGGTGGTGGTGGTTGATCATTATTCATATAACGATTCTTTTGTAATAAACGATTTTCATATTCTTCAATTAAATCAGGACAATCTAAGTTTTGATGTGGTTCCTATTTAATAATGATTTCATTTTAAACAAAAATACAAAGATTTTGACTATTACCCAAGTATTTTCTTCTTCTGGATAACCTTTCCAAGCTAGTAAATATTCTTTTCGACCATTTCGAAATCGGTGACTAACAATACGTTCAACAATAAATTCTTCACCTTCTTCACCAACCATGTGTTGTTTCTCTCCACTAGGATTATTCATTGTAATTTGAGTATATATATATATATATATATATTTTGAAAAAAAAAAGAAAAGAACTTATGTATATAAAGAGAAGAAAATTTTTATTTTCTACCAATAGAGTAGGAAGATTAAATATACAAAGATGAAAACGAGTGTTCAGATTTAATTAAACCAATGAAAAATTAATTGAACATTTATTTTATATTTACTTTTTTTAAAATATTAATCTTTTTAAAGTCTTTTCAATATCATATAGATACATATAAATATTAATTAAAAATAATTTATTCGATAGATGTCGTACAAATATAAAATTGACATATTATTACATGGTTTACAAATAAACCAATGAAATAGTTTTAGGGTCAATTCAAATTAGATGATGCAAGGAGAATGATCCAGATAGTTTATTAAACGGATTGATAAGTATGCAAAATAAATACGTAGATGAATAGGATTAAACCTTACGAATAAGAATATATATAATATTGAAAACTTTGCTATTATAAATTTAACAAAAAAAACAATAAGATCATTTAGTTTTTAGAAAATGGCTCTACGATTACTTCTTCCAAATCGTATAATAATTCCTCAACGGACATCATTAATACGTCTTTGTCGTTATTATACACCGCTTACTTTTGAGCATCGTTCAACAATCAATCCACCTTCGATATCCAATTCTTCTCTTTATTCTCCTCAATTTAAAACTAATACTTCATTACTATCAACAAATAGTGCATATTTTCTTTCATTAAAATATTCTTCATCATCATCGTCATCGAATCCGCCCTCATCATCGGATGGAAATACTCCATCACCTCCTTCGGATGGAAATTCTTCTTCTTCTTCCTCGTCCTCCTCATCATCATCATCTTCAAATAGTGGAAATAATCATAATGATGGACATAATGAATCAGGAGATAGTACAGTACCAGTCGTAATTCAAGCAGGAAATCCTTTAATGCCTGTTGAAGTTCCAGAAAACTATCCAATTGTTCCATTAATACCTGTTTCACGTCATCCATTATTTCCAAAATTTATAAAAATGCTTGAAATAACAAATAAAGATTTAATGGAATTAATACGACGAAAAGTTAAATTAAATCAACCCTATGCTGGTATATTTTTACGTAAAGAAACATCTGCAACAAATGAAAAAGCATCAACTTCAGATGAAAAAACAACATCAACAACAACGCTAGATTCAAAAACATCATCGGAAACAGTTAAAGATAAAGAAAGAAATTCAACTATAGTAACATCTGATGTTGTTAAAAATCTTGATGAAGTTTATAAAATTGGTTCATTTGTACAAATTCATGAAGTACATGATATGGGTGATCGATTACGAATGATTGTTATGGCTCATCGAAGAATTAAAATTGTTGGTCTTGCATCGGATGCATTAGGTATAGAAGATATAGATCGAAAACGACCTCAACCAAAATCTAATAATAATAATCGAAGACGACAAAAAAGAAAAGGTAAACATAGTTTCAATATATAACAGAAGAAATATTTATATTCTATCTATATAGATGAACCTGCTGTAGCAGAAGAAATAACTGCTGAACCTACACCAACAACTTCATCATCACCATCACCTGCTAGTGATGAACCTATTGTTGTGAATAAAATTTTATTAGTCAATACGGAAAATGTTACTCATAATGAATATGAACAAACACCAGAATTGAAGGTAGAATTCATTTGAAATATCTACTTTTAACTTTTATTCTTACATATTATATTTGAAGGCATTAACTGCAGAACTTGTGAAAACAATACGAGATATAGTTGCATTAAATCCATTCTACAGGTAAAAAAACTGATTATTATTTTTACTTCATCTATTAATTTGGCAATTAAACTATTTTAGAGAATCAATTGCCGCTCTTATCCATAGTGGACAACGAGCTGATCATCCTGTTTATTTAAGTGATTTAGGTGCAGCTCTTACAAGTGCTGAAGGTATTGAACAACAAGCTGTTATGGAAGAAATGAATGTATGTCTAAAAAAAACTCTATTTTTCGTTTAATTCAAATAATATTTTGTTATAGATTCCAAATCGATTGATGTTAACATTAAGTTTATTAAAGAAAGAATTAGAAATGAGTCGTCTTCAACAAAAAATCGGTAAAGAAGTTGAAGAAAAAGTGAATAAACAACATAGAAAATTTATGTTAATGGAACAATTACGTATTATCAAAAAAGAATTAGGTCTTGAAAAAGATGATAAAGAAGCTATGAATGATAAATTTCGTACAAGATTGAAAGTATTTAAAAAAAAACTAAGAATTATTTGTTTTTTTAAGAATTCTTTCTGCTTTAGGAACTGAATATACCACCACATGTTAAAATAGTCATTGATGAAGAATTAGAACGTTTAAATATTCTTGAAAAACATTCAGCAGAATTTAAGTATGTTGAATAAGAAATAGTCTTCTTATGTATATATGAAATTTTCTAGTATTTGTACAAATTATCTTGATTGGTTGACAAGTCTTCCATGGGGAAAGACAAGTGAAGAAAAAACTGATCTTGATCATGCACAAAAAGTACTTGATGAAGATCATCATGGCATGGAAGATATTAAAAAACGAATTCTTGTATGATTCTTTTTTTTTTGATACAATTATTAATACGAAAATATGTTTTATAGGAATTTATTGCAGTTAGTCATTTAAAAAAATCAACTCATGGAAAAATTCTTTGTTTTTATGGACCACCAGGTGTTGGAAAAGTAAGTCATTTAGATAATTTTCTTTCATTATTATTTCTTTTTTAAAGACAAGTGTTGCGAAATCAATTGCCCGAGCACTCAATCGAGAAGTAATTGAAGCATATATATTTTATTGTCATTGATAAATTATATTGTATCTGTTTGAATTTAGTATTTTCGATTTAGTGTTGGAGGTATGCATGATACAGCAGAAATCAAAGGTCATCGTCGAACATATGTTGGTGCAATGCCAGGAAAAATGATTCAATGTTTAAAAAAAACTAAAACAGAAAATCCACTTGTATTAATTGATGAAATAGATAAAATTGGTCGTGGTGGTTTTCATGGTGATCCATCAGCTGCATTACTTGAAATGCTTGATCCAGAACAAAATGCAAATTTTCTTGATCATTATCTTGATGTTCCAATTGATCTTTCAAAAGTACTATTTATTTGTACGGCAAATGTATTAGATACGATTCCTGAACCATTAAGAGATCGTATGGAACTTATTGAAGTATCTGGATATGTAGCTGAAGAAAAATTAGCTATTGCAAAAGTAATTAATTTGAAAAAGAAAAATGAGCTTGAAGTTATTGATCAATATATATTCTATTTAGAATTATTTAATACCATTTGCAATAAAACAAACAGCTGTTAAAGATACTAATATTGAAATAACAGATTCAGCTTTAATGCGTCTTATTAAAGCTTATTGTCGTGAGAGTGGTGTTCGAAATTTACAGAAACATATTGAAAAAGTGAGTTGAAAAATTTCTTTTGTTTTTTGAACTAAATAATATTCGATTTTGTATAGATTTTTCGAAAAGTTGCATTTAAAATTGTTAAAGAAGGTGAAAATAAAGTTGTCGTGGATGATGGAAATCTACAAGACTTTGTTGGAAAACCAATCTATACATCAGATAGAATGTATGAATTAACACCACCAGGTGTTTCAATGGGTCTTGCATGGACAGCTAACGGTATGTTATTTTCTTATAAAAATTATATATTAGTTTTCTTTTTCTTGCAGGTGGAAGTGTTCTTTTTATTGAATCAAGCCTTATTAATCCCATTGAAGCATTAGATAGATCGAATACTTCAACAAAAGATGATAAGAGTAGTGGAATAACTGGTAGTTTAACATTAACTGGTAAATTAGGTGATGTTATGAAAGAAAGTTGTAAAATTGCATTGACTTATGCGAAATCATATTTACAACACATCGATCCTAATAATCGATCATTACGTATTGGTCATATACATATTCATGTACCTGAAGTAAGTAAAATAAAAATAAAAGTTTTTGTTTCTCTTCAATCAAAGTTTATTTTCATTTAAGGGAGCAACACCAAAAGATGGTCCATCAGCTGGTTGTACAATAATTACAGCATTATTATCACTTGCTTTAAATAAACCAATAAAACAAAATGTTGCTATGACTGGTGAAGTATCATTAACTGGTCGAGTTTTACCTGTTGGTGGAATAAAAGAAAAAGTTATTGCTGTATGTTAAATTATTCTATTTCTATGTATATGTATACATATAACTTTTTATATATTTAGGCTAAACGAGCAAATGTTCATACCGTTATATTACCATATGAAAATCAAAAAGATTATAATGATCTTCAAGATTTTATTAAAGATGGTCTTACAATACATTTTGCTAAAACATACGATGATGTTTATAAGATTATATTTGATGATAAATAAATCAGTGATTTTTTTTGCGTGTAGAATTAGAAACTGTTTTATGTTTCTTTTGTTTTTTTCCTGTTTTTTGTTATTCCTTTCTCTTTTTTTCATTCTATAAATAAAATATAGTCTGCTTTCATTTGTTAAACAAGATAAAAAGAATATCTACATCAAAAATTGCTTTATATCATTTGTCATTAGTATAAACAAACATGGAGGTCACACTATATCCTTATTATTGAAGACGTACTTCTTAGTTATTGACGTCATTTCAGCCTGTTTTTTCTTCTTCTTCCGATATGATGATTTTAAGAAAGCAAGGAAGAGAATGGAAGAAAAATTCTTACTTATGTGGAAGCAAAACTAGATGTGATGGTAAGCAAGGCCGTTCGCTCGTTTGCTCTTTATTATTCTTCACCACAAGAAAAGGTTGGCTGCTATTGATTGGTGACAATATTCTTGTATATACTGTTTTTTTCCTCTGTTGTACAATCAAAGAATTGCAAAAATATCCTTTTTCTTCTACAACACTTGTGTATAGAATC